CTGTGATAGTCTTTATTCACCAAAATAAGAGGAAGTATTGCCCTTGCACATGGACTATCAAATAGTCAGTGCTAGGGTTAAAAAGTAGTAATACTACCCTAACACCTCTCTAATTAATATAATCACTATAAATGCTACTTAAAGACTCTTATCTCATTGTAGATATGTACACAGTATCACAGGAAGGCAAACTGAAGTTATCATAATTGATTATCATAATTATATACTAATGATAACCTTAGATTTTTTTTTACAAAACCATGTTTGAAAAACATCATCACTACAGCAACAGAAATTCCATCAAGAGTGAGGATAATAAGCTCCTGAAGGGTATCCTACTAGCAGCAATTAAATTGCATTCAAAAGATTTCTCAGTTAAAAGACAGTGAAAAAATTATTTTCTAGTAAAATAATAAAAAATTTCAACAAAACATGATGCTGTTACACCCAAGAAATTTATTAGCACTATATCTAAGAGAGTCATGAAGCTACAAGGCCCATTTAAAATAACAGTCAGTAGCCTGTTAAAAATGTTCCTGTTCTGGTATCCTTACCTTGAGTAGTCACACATTTACCAAACTTGAGCCAAAGGTATGACCAAAACTCTGATTAAATATTTCCTGAATTCTACTGCTGTTTTCCTTAGGATTCCATATGTGTGTACCCAAACCACAATTGCCTATTTTCTGCATTCTCACATTCTCATACACAAATTTCCAATTCTGTGTTAACTGTCCTTTGTATTCAATTTTACTCACACACTCAGGCATTTTCAATTTCTTAAAGAACAGACTTTAAAAAGAAGCATATGGAATAAGTAGATGTTTTCCTCCACCCTTCTTAAGTAAAAAATTCAGTTAATACAATTCTTGGGAGAAAAGATTTCTGCTTCAGAGAATTCAGTGAGACAGAAAACTTTCCCATCAGGAAGTACTTCCAGATTTGTAAGCACAACTGATCAAGTTTCAGACTTCCAGTCCCCAAGAGCACTGCAATATTTCTGCATTCATTCTCTGAAGATTTTGGTTGAAAAATTGAAATAAGGAACCCTATGGAAATATGAATATATCCTAAAAATACACTCTCCTGACAGGATGGAGCATTATCTTCTAATCAGATGTCTTTTTAAAATAAGTTAAGGGCAAGGGAGCACCTTTAGAGTGAACACTGCTTGTCCAAATGGCCCTCTCTGCCAACATTCTCAGGGCAACAACTCAAAGTTGCCCTCAGAAGTGATGGAGGCTCTCTGTACTTGCAGAATGAAGACCAAACTGAGGAATACATGGTGGGCTCAACAGCCTTGTTGTAAAGTAGTACTGCAGACAAAGTAGCTCATTGGAAAAGGTACTTAGTGAAAGATAGCTGTTATTTTTCAAAAAGCTGTTCTGTATGAAACTCAAAATGCAATAGATTTATTTGGCAAATGTAGAGGAAGAAGCTGCCAGTACTGGTAATAGTGGAAAGAAGTCCATCAGTTTTGTGATCCTGAAAATCACTAGGTTTAGATTCCTAAATAACATCTTTTAAAAATTTGAGTTAGCCATCTAAATCACTTAGGTCAATTTTTTAAATGTATTTAGGTGCTAAGTACCCCTAGACTTAAAGGAAGTTCTGCATAGAATAGTAAGGTAATTTCAAAAGAAAGCATTTTAATATTTAAGGTTACTGGCCAAGCAGAAAAATCTATCACCATCACAATAGTCAACCACATAAATAAATCATCAGCATAATTGATCTCAGTGACCTTTAATCCCAATGGCTCTTTTCCCAGGCCATTCAGGACACTCTGTCCAGTATGTTAAATCTAAAAGATAATAATGATTGTAGATAAGATGGCTATATACAGCTTTTAGATACAAATATCAGGGCTTGTCCCTGCACAAGAGCTACATTGTCCACTAGTCAGGATGCCCCCAACTTTGGCATGGACAGATAAATAAGAGATAAGAAAAAAAGGAACTGCCCCTCTTGTGTGATCTGTTCACAATGAGAGGCAAGGGCGGTTCACAGTCAGGGGCAGAGAAATGAAATATCAAGGTACAGTTTCTCTCTTTGTCCTTTGAGCTTCTGGGGCCTCTAAGCAGTAAAACTCAGGCTGTACCTGGCCTCCTCACTTCACTTCAAGAGAGTGTGGTTAGACTGAGACTAAAGGGTCCAGGCTGGCTGTGACTGTGCAGTAGCACAGGAAGCACAAGAGCCTTTATTTCCTTCCCTTTGGAAATTATTAAAATAGCTGGAAAAAGGGCAAACCCATGCATGAATAACCTGAGATCACAGCAACAACCTGATGCCAAGGAATTGTGTTAGCTGACCACCATCTTCTGCCCAGCACCAACACTGTCTCCCTGCCCACGGAGCCTTTTCTAGCTGATGTCATACTGCTGGTGAGAGGAGCAGAGGCGGAAGGAGAAGTAGGAAACCACAATGGAAACACTGCACAAACTGAAGAAATGTTGGAAGGAAAGATTTACAATCAAAACCTCACACACAAACACATTTAAGTAGCATGGGAAAAATCGTGAAGTTAAGGAGATTGTAGGAGCAAGAGTGCTTGCTGAGCTCAGTGGAAGGGGTAACTTAACAGATGGGTGGTAGGAGAGGAAACAAAGAAAGAGATGTGAGGGTGAGAAGCCAGCCTACAATACCAGAAGGTGACATTATATAGTAACACCTGCAGACAGTGTGGTCTTAGTGGCATATTGGACAGACAGTAAGGGTTGCAACTACATAAGGAAAATGAAGACTAGGAATTGGAGAAATGAGCTGGTATAGGAATTCACAACACTGATAGAAAAGGAGACCGGAAGGTTTGGGGTAAGTCTGCAACTGGGAATGTCAGCTGAGTTGGCTCCTGAAAGGAGGTGAAGGAAGAATGGAGCATATGGCATTTCTTGTCCTAGAGAGGAAGAGGAACATCTTTCCAAACTACTTGTTACTAGCCACAAGATTAAGGCTTAGAAGAGAAGTAAAAAGTGTCTGGATGACTGAACTTATTTCACTCACTTCTGCTGTTCCTGAGTGATGTAGGCTTTGGTCTGTTCTAACTTACCTGATAGTAAATTACCTGCATTATTAGTTAACTAATGTATCCACAAAGATACAAGAAAATTACGTTTGCCTTCATATTGTTGCTTGCTTGCCATATTGAAAGGACAACACTAAATAACAATTATTGTAGATAGTGCAAATAATCAGAACAGGCCAAGGAAAGATCCGAGAGATGGGACGGCATGCAGAGGAGGGTGAAATGCCTATACCAGCTTTCATATGAGAGTGAGTCACTTTGCTGTTCTGTGTCACATGTTGTCTGTTTATAGAACACCACTAACACCATCTCCTGGCCAGTTGGCGACTGGAGTAAAATCTTTATAAAGGTCTCTGAGAGCCTGGAATGAAAGGTATTGCAAACATAGAAAAGACTATCATCACTGTATCTTCTATACATTCATATTCATTTACTTTACCTATGTCAAAATAATACCACACCTGTCCCCAGAATTAGATGTAGAGTGTGGGCATTTAAACTACATTTTTTTTCCAAAGGGTTTCTAGCAAAATGTCTCAGAATACTCTAAAACTGGCTTACATTTTCAGAACTGACTATTGATTTGGGTACACTTTGTTCTGGAGTCTACTAAGAAAAACCAAAACTGATCTTAAGTAAAAGTGTGAAAACAAACCCTTTCCTAGTGTTTCAAAATCAGCACTTTAAGGCTTACACCCTTTCTGAAACATCAACAATGTGTTTTCCCAACCTATTGCTGTCAAAGATTCAGTATTCCCTGTTCTTTTTACTCTTTTTTTTTTTTTTTTTTTTAAGATATCAAGACCATCCAGACATGCAAAGAGTAGCACTTCAACTTCATGTGCTTTTGGCACAGCCAATAGATCATGTCTGTCCCAATAACACTTACTGAATTTATCCAGCTGTTTTCAAGCATTTAAAGCAAGGCTTTGACACCCCTTTGATCTTTCAAAATCTTATATATCTGTAGATGTCCAGCATAGCACATTAAGGCATTACCTTGGAATTTACTCAGGAGTTATTGCTCATATATATCATATATTGGTTCAGACATATCATATATTGGCTCAGACACCTTTCATTTCAAATCACTTAAAAACTGACTCACAGCTCAAGGAAGATACCTTCTGAGCTTTGGCTCTCGAGACCATATTTCCAGAAAAAAATCATCAGAATCAGTAACTTGTATTTTTGCCTTTAAATTAAATCAGGAACATAAGGTCATCTTCTAATTTTAGCTAATCTCAGAATAAACAAACAGAAGCAGAGCTTCCTGCGTCATTAACAGCATAATCAATCTAGAGTCTTCAGCACAGTCTGTCCTAGAGAATTGAGTACTTGGAGCTATAGTGGGTAACTGAGAACAAATCTATGAATCCCTTGGAAGGTAATCCTGAGGGATTTTCATAAAAGAACTGCAGTGTCATACTTTCTGGAATAGCTTATAGGAAATACCATATGAATGCCACTGGTATATTATAATTGCATACATTTTTCAGATAACCACAATGCTCTGTTCAGCCAGCTTAGATCGAAATGATAGCTTTCTGCAGACTGCATATTTCCTCCAAATTACTTTACTAAAAGCCCCACTAAAAGAGACAAACTGTCATTTTGAAAGGTAGCAAATAGTACTTTTGACCATCATATGGGATAGTCAAATTGATTTTGAGTGAATCAATGCAACACCAGCTACAGCTCAGCAGAAGAAAATACAAAGGTTTCAGATTTCTCTTGGCTATCAGAGGAAGCCCACGAAAATCCCTGAAGAGCTGTACGTGGGGAGTACCACAGCCATCTCTTGCATTTGGTGTTTTGGTGAATTCTCCAAGAAGCCCTCACACAGTCAGTTAAAAAGGTAAGATCTGTTTTCTATTTGCAACTGGTTGAGTCATAAGTGCAACAAGTAAATGAATACCCAACTGAGTGCCTCAAACCTCTAGACCAATTGCTCTGCTTCTTTCCACTACATGAAACTGTAACATCTCTCTACTACTATGAAACATGGTGAATGGAAAGAACCATCTCAATGGGTCTCATCATTAGTGTGTTGGTGCAATCTTAAGAAAACTCCATCCTTTAACTGATCTGAAATTTGGTCTGTTATCTGTGGGAAGTCTCAGAAAGTGACCTTTTTGGTCCTTTAGACTGAATGCATTAAAGGCTATGTCTTGACAAAGTGGGAGGAAAAACTTTGTTTATGGCACCAGAAGAGGAAAATTCACTGAGACACTCAACTGGTAATGGATTGCTGATCATCCAATCATTGTCAATAAGGCATAAAGGCCAGCGTGAATGTTAAACTGGCAAGCAGGGGGAATTTACTACTTTAGGTGGCAAAATAGCCTCTGAGATAAGTGGGAGTCCTCTGTTCCAGAAGACATGGCCTGGGAGTCCAGGCAATCCATTCACAGACAAACCCACCCAAAGTTTGCTTGGGTAGCTTCTGCTTGACCGACACAGGAAAAGAGCAGTATGGGCGTCTCAAGAGCCCTACACTGGGCTTTGTCTTTCTGTGTCTCAGTTCCATTATCTGCAAAACAGAGATAATGGCACTAAGATTGTGATAAGTATTATTATGATCAGTTTACAAGCACAGCACAAGCTAATTAATGCAGTTAAGTTTGGTATATGTAGCTCTCAGAGCCACATAATTCTTGATAACAAACAGATCCCTTTCACAGAAAAAGAGCCTGTCTCCAAGGATGATGCTATCAGACTGCTGAAAAATCACAAACTTTCAAAAATGAGGACAACACCAGTATAATGGACACAGTGTGCTAAGGAAAGTAGGTCTTAGAACGAGCTAGCAGGATTATGTAGCTTGGGAAACCAAAACTGTGATTTTGATCAGCAGCTGCTATTGATGGAAGTGGAGAGGTTTTTATTTGATTTGAGAGGGCAGCACTACAGATATTGAAAGTTTATTTCATAGGAATAATGCATGGATCCCAACTCTTCAGAGGATAGGAATTATGGTGAGCATTTCAAGAACCTGATTTTTACCAGTCCTTCATGTGTGTGATCCTATCATCACAATCCCACAAAGCAGGTTTATAACTCAGCTGGCTCAGACCATGGGGTAGTCAGGAAGCTGGAGAAGGGCTTTGTAGCTCAGGTAGGGGTAGAGGTGCTACGAAGGTAGCAGGAGCACTCCAGGTTCCCAGGGCAATAAAGACTGCAAATCTGAGGAAAGACTTCTAGGCTTGGGAATGTGAATGGACAGAGGCACTTTCAAGCTATATGGCAATCAAGTCCCATATTGTAATTCAGAATTCCTCCTTCTGAAATTTTTCTCAGTTTGCACCTTCATTTTTCTTTGCTTTGTTTTTTTATTACTTAACTATATATTTATAATAAGCAGCAGGCATTTAGGGTCAGTTTCTCAGAAATCAATGGAACCACCACTGAGGGACACCAGAGGATAAACTTGCCTTGGGTATATTTTTAATGCACCATAGTCCTGTTTTTGTCAGCTTTTCCGTAACAGAGCGTGCAGGCTGGGTGAGCAGCATTATTTATGGCCAATACACATGGTTGAGAATCAAGTAGAAGATCAGACAGGTAATGCAGACTCTTTTAAAGTTGTGGTGACATAATCCAATGCAAGCAGAGAAACATCATATATCTGCAACCTTTCCAGCACTAGTGGGATAATGCCCAGAAAAGAGAGCATTACTGGAGCAAGAAGAGCAATGGTCACTGTGTCAGAGCCAGCTGTCAACCCGAGAAGATTAAGCTGATGAATGACACAAAAAGTCCATTCTTACTTCTTTCTCACCTTACTCTTAAAATCCTCTCCCACACTGAGGTAAGATTTCTGCCCCACAGTGCCAGGAGATCAAGACCTGTTGTTAAGATAACAAGAACTAAAAGGCTTACAAGGTGTTATACAGGACAATATGGTTGAGATCCAAAACAGCACTTAACCAGAAATGATTTAGGCCACATTCAGGTGATTACAGAATGCTATTCCCCAATAACATTGTTCCACTACAGAACACTTAATCCATGTGTTCTCAACAGAAAATTCCTGCAGTTCTGCTCTGGCGCAGGCCAGGTGGGACAGCAGCTCTGAATACAGCCGAGCTCAGCAGCCACAGCCACACATTCTTCAAAGAACAGCTGGAGGAGACAGGTCTGGTGGTCAGAGCCCTTGCCCAGGACTATGGGAGACCAGATGCAATTCTCCTCGCTTGCATGGTTCAAAGCTATCTTTCCCCTAGAAGTGCTCCAACTTCTACCTGGAAGCTTGCCTTGGGCACCCAGTGAGGAATTTGAGGGCCCTGTGCCGACTAGAGCAGGCTCAGGCATGTGTGGCACAGAGTGTGAAGGGCTGCTTAGACTCAAGGCAAACAAAAATTAATGTCAAGCCAACCAGGGCAGTGTGTCTGGCTCAATTCGGATGCCCACACACAGACACCCAGTCTGTGCGTCCTTGAGTATCCTGTCTGGCTTCCAGATCCCACTCCAAAAGTAGTCCTAGAGGAGTCATAGGATATCTTGGCCACCTTACAGCACCTGCTAACACAATACACGACTCATTTAGGCAAATTAATCAAGTGTCTGGCAAGTTGTGGCAGCCCAAGGACGACTGAGGTCTCACATGACCAGTGTAAGTCATCCGTTCTGGTCTCGCAAGACCTGTTTTACATCTCTCATGCATTTATTAAATCAAGCACCATGTCTTTATTAAATCAAGCCCCATCCTTATCCTGCATAACTAGCTAGCTCCAAGACAGCCCATAAAAAATACACCAAATAAAGCACTTACCCACACAAAGGCTTCAAGGAAACTCAGCTGGAAACCGATGTTTTGTTCCAACAGTAGCAAACTCCAGGCAGAACTTTGCTGGAAAAGCTTCCATAGAACATTGCTCTAAATATGCTGGCAAAGATAAACAGCAATAAGATCAGGCATTCAGCTGAATGTGAAATATTATTATTTACTTCAGCCACAATTTTGTGTTCGGCAAGACTTGCTGTTGTAAATACTTGTCTTGAACAGCAGAAGTGTCAAGGGAATGCTTCTTTAGGTGAGAGTCTGTGCTCACCCACACCCTGGGAGTGCATGTAACAACAGCAGCAATGTCTCATCAAGCCTATGGCTCCAGGTGATTGCTGAAAAATTATGATTCAGTGTTGCGTAGTTACAGACAGACAGGTGATGCATGAGGAAGTTTAGAGCAGAACACTGTCTCTTCCAGTGGCCTGAACATCTGTCTCTGATTTTTATGTGACTCTTCTACAAAGATAGTTTCCTGTAATTTCTCCTTCTTCTGATACATTTTGTGCAGCTACAGAAGAATATCAGCTACCCGAGGATTTAGGCTGCAGAGTGTCTGTGGGTGCCAGAGGCTCTATTACGTACCTGCATGATTCTATAATCTGCTAACTAGGTTAAAACATTCACTGAATAGAATCATTTAGATTGGAAAAGACCTTTAAGATCTTCAACTGTCCTAACACTGCCAAGTCCACCACTAATCAGTCCCTTAGTGCCACATCTACATCCACCTCCAGGGGTGGTGACTCAGTCATGTGCTGAAGTGAGTGACCAACCACGTGCCATGAGTAACAAACTACTGGAAAGGTATTTACTCTATAAAAGGCAAAACAACCTTAAATCTGTAAGGTATTTATGACTTGAGGCAATAAGTCTACACAGTAAGCTTCAGGAAAAGTTTGATTGTACCAACACAGCGCTGCATTTTCAACAGGATCCATTAACTCAAATCAGTCCCAATATAAATGCAGTTGCTATGCTTCCAGTCCCAGCATGGATGCCTCTATGCCTGTGGGATAAATACATTCCTCATTTCAGACAAAACTGAGTATGCCAGGTTTTGGGGTGTGGAAACACCATCATTAACACATTTCTGCCTCTAGATGAATGTCACCAGATCTCACTCCTGGAATCAGGTTGCTGTCTCCATTGATCCTCATTGTCCCATCAAGTCCTTCCATATATCTAAGGGACTCTGCAGGTTTACTGTTTTATCCAAACCCAATGAAAATTAGATGTCACAATATCCCTTGCAGATTCAAACAGCAGAACCTCATTTGCTTCGTGTAAGAACCAGACAGTAGATACTCACACAGCTTTCCATCACAATGTGAGGAACAAGGCTGGAGAGACAAGCTGCCCTTGTAGGTGAAACTCTCAATAAGGCCTTCATTTGCTCTTTGTCGAAATCTTTACAGATACTTAGATTGCTGAGATTATTCCATGGGCTTGGAAAGAGTCAGGGAACTGCAACAATCCTCAGTGGTCTGTTTTACAAGTTAATGGCTTTCCTTTTTCTGTGTACGCAATTACTGAGAGAAACCTAACCCTTCCCCAAGCCCTCACCTTTGATCAGTGCAGGTATCAAGTGCTGGTCGGCTTAGGTACATTTTGTGCTTGTTTCTTATGCAAATGCAGACTACTATACACCAGCTGGCACTTCTGCCAAATTTGTTTCATGGTTTTCATTCTGTTTTCTACCTTTTGCCTAAAAGGACCATTATGTACATGGAGATTAGTTTTCTGTGAGAAGATAGCAAGAGATTTATTTTCTTCTACAAATTGTGGGATAAGATGCATTTTGGAGTAATTCCACTGAAACCTCCAGCATTACACCAATGCTAATTTAATTACAGTATTTGCTAAAAATCATCAGTAAAAAGCTAATCTGTGTTTCAAGAGCTTTGTTAATGTTATGGTGAGGTTAACCACTATAGCTAAACAAGGTTAGCCAAATATCTTATGCTCCAAATCAGCTCTTTGGGGGCAGACCTGACAGACCAAGTCCAACCCCAGGGCTGAAACTGATCCCTTGAGCTTGAAGAATCAGCTTGTACAAGGTCATGAGGGCTTTCTCATGTCCAAAGTCACAGGCTTTCTCCTGCAAGCCTCCCCTTGTTACTGGGTTATATATTCTTGATAACAGTCTTGATCATAATGTCTCACTATAAACCCTGGCTCCTGGCTACAGACCAAATACACACACACAGAGAAAGACAAAAAGGAGTTTACACAATGTCTATTCAGTTTGGCTTAGGAAATCAAAATTAGGCCTCAGTGCCTGCAGGATTTGAGGTGAGGCTACAAAACAGACACCTGGAGTTAAATTTTCCTTGTTTTAGTATTTCTGATGAGGATAATCCCTACTTAGGTAATACCAAATGATTTATGAGCTTTAGCCCTTGTTCAGTGGATTATTCTTTAATTTGATTAAAATAACAACAAGCAAGGGATTTTATCCATTGTCCATCTTTAAGTAATCTCATTTAAATCAGAATGTGATGGCTTGCAGGACTTGGTTCACAACAATAGTGAGAGCAGCCCATTATTTGCTCTGTATTGCAATCCCTATGAAGCTTCTATCTAGATTCAGACTTACTATTTGAAACTAAGCAGAGAAATGTACAGGCTTTACAACCTTTCTTTAGGGATTTGGATCAGTTTGCCAGAAGCAGAAGGCACCCTAATTACATCTTTGTATCACTGCAGTTCACCTGCACACCATCACTGCTGAGAGCCAGCAGCCCTCACAGGGCATGGTGCACTCATGGCTCTGCTGTGCTCATGGCTTTCAGCTTGAAACTCTTCTTGTAGTGAGTGCTGTCCTCAAGGTGCACCCATAAATCTCACCCACAGGCAGTTTGTCTAGCATTTTGGGTTAATGACAGGGCCGCTGTGCTCCACTCTCCTCTTCCAAAAGCTCCAGACTAATGACAACTAGTACAGCTTTAATACCGTGTCTCTCCTATATGCCAAAAATCCCTTGAGAGAAGGCATATCCACACCAAAGTCCTGCCATGGATGGGGAGAATGAGGTTCTCCACAAGAGGAGATACCAAATCATCTGTGAGCAGCCCCACGGGACTGGGTCCCACAAGCAAGGTCAGTGAGATCCTCTGTGTTTTGTGACTCAAGACAGATATCAGAGCAGTTCAACAATACATGGAACTGGGTAGATACACACATGCCCAAAGTTGAGGCTGTGCCAGTTTATACTGCAAGTGTTTACAGCCCACATTCTTATGCTGTAATAGCAGTAGCATACCCAAGTGCTTTTTTCCGTGTCTGTCACTAAAAGCTGATACAAACAGGATGTAATGGGTCACCAGAAAATCCTACCAGCTGACTAAGACTGTCAAAGGCAACCTCATGACTGATGGCCATATGGAAAGCAAATTTATTTCGGTGCAATGGTAAATTTTACACAACCTGTAGTGTAGTACTTATATTACATAGTCTTACATGCATGTAGTATTATGTACTATAATTTTGTAGTATTATGTACTATAATTATGTAATATAATGCTTAGGTTTATGGAAGAGCCTACCTAAACTCAGGTAACATGCCTATGAACTTTTAGAAAACGTAAGTAAAAAACCCAACCCCTAAGATGGTATATGATCTGTTGCCATTACTTTTGTCCACTTACAGGGCACAGAAGTTTGACATGGTCCACAAGCCATTTAAGACAAGCATCTAATTCCTATAAATAATTTTTAACTGAATTCTAGAAGGCAGTTGTGGCTTCACCTCTGCAGAAATTCTACATTTTCCTAATTAACTTGTAAAACAAAAACTTAGTACCTTCAGCAGGTTTCTCTTCAGTTGTTTTCAAGATCTGTGAAAAAACCACCATAGAAAGACTTTTTAAAAATCAAATTGCAGCAGCAGTACAGTCCCATCTAGGGGAAGAGAACTGCTTTTCTATAACTCTTTTTTTTTCTTCTCCCACACTGGACAATACTGGCGGGTTGAGATTTAACCAGAGATGGGCTCCTTTTACAAGATTGCTTATATAAAGCGAAGATAATGCCAGCTGGGTTCATTTGAAAGAGGACATCTTGGGAAGAGCCGACAGTGCAGCTATTGGAATAAGACCGGAATGAAAATCTGAAATACTTATCCCCTTCTTGTCCTGTAGGTATAACAATTAATTTCTTTTAGAATGCCTAGGATTATAATTAGAAGGAATTGTCACTGAAATATATTTTATGAGCCTTTTATAAATATATATTTTAAAGAGGTTGAGTGAAAATGTTGGAGTTAATTGTTTTTATTAGAAATACTGAGTTTGGATGAGTTTTTTTCTTTACTTAAATGACATCTACTACTTCTGACAGTCTTCTTAGTGATGTGTATATGAGGTGCTGATACTGAAGAATATATCCCTACAAAGGGAAAATATGAGAATCCCACATGTAATATATGCTTCTCCCTGTGGGAAACAACTTGCATATTTGAGGATTGGAATGAAAATGTAAATTACTGCTATCTATGTTTTCGTAAAACCCAACATTGAGTAGCAAAGGAGAAAATGCATAATTTGCCAGAACTGAGCTACATGAAGTGAAGATAGCCATCATCATAGAGAATAGTTTCAGCACTAAATTTTAAGCACACTGTATATGTTCTTGCATCATATTTCTTCATTTGGTAATATTAACACCAGGTTTAGAACCTTCATAAGAAATCAAACTAGAATAATTAAAAGCCACCACTAAACTGAAATAGTAATATTGTTACAATAGGGACCCAGTGATAGTAATGGTCTTGGAAATATTTATCCTGTAGATGCAATTACATTGGGTGACAGAATATCAGTAATGTTATTTTTTTTCTCTCTGCAAAAAGCCCACGTATAACAGTACTGACAGTTTCAGGTCTGCAGACAATGTATTGTTTTTGTTTCCAATTTTAAAGACATTTTTAGCTTTTATTCTCTTTGTCCTCAGATCATTGCAAGAAATGCTGACCCTTACTCTATATCTGCTGGTCATCTTGGCTCGAGCTCTTGGAGGGCCTTGCAGTCCAAATAAAGCAGGTAAAATAACTTCAGTCTTCTATAATCTTCTCTTACAATTAAGTGGCCAAAGTTTTTTTTCAATTCAAAATCGAAAGGTTTTCCTTCAGAAAGTTAAAGTGTGAATTCTGCAGAGCTAATCCTTACATTTTGTTTATTGATCTGCTTTTAGCTAGCACAATAAAGCACGTACCAGTGAAGTCCTAGCCCCATAGACAATTAGGTATATACTTCATTTTGTTCAGTAATCATAGTGCAATAAATTGAAAGCCAAAAGCACAAAATGGCAAAGAAAACAACAACAATTAGAAGTTATCTGTAGTAGTGAAGGCTAGATGCAACAGATCTTTGCTGCCCAAGCTGGGCTTTAGTCCCACTGACTGCAATCAGATGGCTAGTGGTGACTGAATGTGCTGGGCTGAACTCCTGAACAACACTGCTATATTAAAACAAGAAAAATAAAAAAAATCATTGAAGAGAAGGCTCTAATTGCACACTGATTACTGCCTAGAAACTGGAATGAGCTGGTGCCAAACAGACCTGCAATGTAGATTTCACTACAATTATGAAATGGGCTTTAGAGATGTGTTGGAATATGCCTTGATATAGTGTTTGCTTTTAGTACACGACTGCTGTCAGATTACTGTCAGTAATTTTATTGTATATCTTAAGTATTTGGCCCTCTAGTCATTTATTTCAGTACCTTCATTTGCACAAGCAGTACCTCTGAACTGCGGGAATTTTCATAGCTATAAAGTTGCCAGAGTTATAAATCTGACCATCTACACAAGCAAAATCAGCCTGCATGGGCTGAAGGTTTGTTGACCAAAGAGAAGCAAGCTGTTAAGGACCTTAGTTGACTTCCACTGAGTATTCCCAGGGAGACACAGAAAGGCTGCAAAATGAGGCTTTTAGTATAAAATGAGAGTGTCAAGGGCTTTAAAAGAAATAATTGAATCATTCCAGGCAAAAAGTCTTTTTTCTCACTGTAATAATTGGAAGTCTTTCTGAATTTTCAGGTCACTAATGGTTAGTCAATATTTGCCCTTTAAATTCCCATCAGGCATTCAAACTAGTACTGCTTGATGGTCTTTGAAAAATGTCCAGTTCTGCTATCATGAAGCAATCAGTCTGTATGTTATGATGTTCAATATTCATGGCTGTATTAGCAATCACACTGCGCTGCTGTTAACAGGGCTGGGAGTTTGGTTCATTTATTATTGCTATTAGCAGACCTAGGCTTTGCAGTTCATTTTTAGATCTTAGCTTTTAACTTGACAATAGGAAAAATTCAATTTGTTCTGGCACTGCAATGCCAGTGCAAGAAGAGAAAGGATGCAATATCTATTGTGGCCAAGATCTGTACACCACTACAAAAGGGTGCAGATCTATGAAAGCCTACCAAACAACTTCACCAATATTACTTTTACAGAGTCAGTGGCATTACAGAAGCCAGCTTTGCAGCATAAGCTACTCTGACAGATCCCAGTGCAGCCCTTTTTCACATCAGGTTTCTCAGCAGTGTCTCTGCTTCTCAATCAGCCATTCCAGAAAGATAAAAAATTCACACAAAGTTCTGCATTGATTAGAAGGTTTTGTGTAGCAAAAGCTGCTCACGTTAGGGAACCTGCCAGCACAACCCCTGCTCACAGAAGGTTAAACCCAATGGAATGTCACTGTGCAGACCCACTGCTTTGAAAGAAAATTACCAGTGAGTAACTCTAGATGTATTATTTCCCTTTCAGATGTAATTCTGGTATACTGCTATCCTAAAACCATCATTACCAGAATTCCAGAGTGTCCTTATGGATGGGAAGTTAATCAGCTGGCACTTGGAGGCATTTGCTATAATGGGATCCATGATTCGGGATATTACCAATTCACAATCCCAGACCTGTCACCTAAAAACAAATCATACTGTGGGACACAGTCAGAGGTAAGACTATCAAGGTCAACACCAAGGTCAACACTTCTGACTCAGGAAATGGCTGGACTCACTCTAGAAAGTCCTGTCTTCAGCTTGGAGTAGGCTTTAGGTACTGATGGAAGAAGGAGGCAAACTCCACTATTAGCGAGAAGTAAGAATCACATCATTGTGCTTTGCATCTACAGGCAAAATACTTGAAGGCTTAGAGATATTATTCTGTGTGTTAGTTGTTCATTTGCACCTGTATTACATATTAAGAATTTACATATGGCAAGATATATGCATTGGCAGCACAGCATATAAAGAGCTACCTAACCACGTTTCTTTGGGGATGGTGTTAAAGTCTTCATGTTTCAAACTATAAAGTTGTTCCTGATGCCTCAAAGACTCAGTACTGCCTACATTTCTCGGTCTCACCATCCACAGTTCAAGAATCCCGTTTATCACTTCTACAACTCCATCGTCTCCAATGACTCCTCAGTAATTGTGAAGAACCAGCCTGTGAATTACTCGTTCACCTGCACATACAATGCCCACTACCTGGTGAACCAGGCTGCCTTTGACCAAAGGTACGTCCTCTTTTGGGAGTGCATCTTACCCTGTCCTCAGAACCACACCTGACTCATACAGAAATTTGTCATGTCCCCAGGGTGGCCACTGTCCATGTGAAGAACGGGAGCTCCGGCACATTTGAAAGTCAGCTGTCCCTCAACTTCTACTCTGTAAGTGCTCTTTGCCATCCAGATTTTCACCTTCACCTTCCACAGGCTTCAGCCTGAAGAGCTGGAAAAAAACAGGGCTGCTGCTGCTGACTTTTATGTGTCATAGAGCATATTAATAGCCTGGAACAGATAATTGCAGTGGGGTTGGCAGGGGTCCTTGTTTCTGCTGATTAACAGGGATATACTTAAACTGAACAGAGCAGACACATGCCAACTGTTCTTTTAATCCCTCAAAAACTGGCAGATTTTTCTGCTGAGAGGTACATTTCTAACCTGATGACAGATTTTATAATAAAAAGCAAAACTTGTTTGTAGTCCCACTGCAAGAGCAGCACGCATCTGCAGGCACCGCTGCTATCACATGGTCTCTACAGACACAGCAAAACTCCAGGCATTTCTCTTGCAGTTTTCTCCCCGGTCCTCTCACCTGGCAAATATTTCGTGTACCCCAAAGATCTTTATGTCATGCTGGAATTTTGTTGCCAACAAAATACTGTCCCTGGATATCAGGGAGATCTTTTGAAACTTCCCTCTCCTCTCCACAGCTCCACTGCACTGTTGGAGCAGCCAGCTCTTGATCTTGGAGTCTTTTCTCCATCAAAGCACAGGCAAAAGCACCAAAACAGCCTCTCTATTTTAGTGCAGCTAGAAAAAGCACAACTAATAGCATACTGTGTTAAATTTATAGGCCAGGTAGAGGGAGTATTTACCACAAGGTGGAAATCTCTTCTCCCACATGCTACATTTTGAGCGCTAATTGATCACTAAACATTTTGACAGGCTTTGGGTGCCACATGACCACCCCTGTGGTCTTTTTTTCTGATACACAGCACACTAATATGTATTATTAGGTAATACATACTGGCAAGGTCCCAGGAGGAACCACACTGCTCCTGTCAACTGACAGAATGGTTACAAAAACAAATGATAGACAGTGAGGAAAGGATCTCTGGTACTTTAATTTTTTGCCAAATGACTGTCTTGTTCTAATGGCTCCCAGGAGTCAAGGAGGGAGTGAATGAACTGCAGTAATATATTTTCCTGGTGAGCATAAGTACAGAACAAGCTCAGAAAGCTACCAGACCACTCCTTTTTTACTTTGTTCTCATTTTCAGTGGGGATAAAAGAAAAAAATTAAAGATTTATTTTGCCATGGTATTCATCTCTGCTGCTGCCTTCCACAGCCCTCTACTCTGGTGGGCTACACTTCTAGGTGCTTCATGATCCCATTTCCTCATTCAGAAGCAGCACACAAACTGCAGTGTAATCCAGTGGAAACACTTCAGCCTCACCTGCCCTTTGGTCTGTGACACCCCAATAACAGCAAAGGATTGTAACTCAGTGTGAGGGGCTAGAACTTGAATAGAAATCAGGCCTTCAACACAGAAACTTGGTGTGAAGAAAAGCAAGATAGTACCCTAAACCACTGCAAAGCAACAGAGTTTAGAAAAAGCAGCACTATATCAAGTTCCACTCATTGCAGTACGAGGACTGGTAAGACTTTTGCGACAGTACTGCTGCAAGTTCTGTGATATGGCACATACTGCAACCTAAACAGCATCAAATTCTGTCATTATAAGCCAAACATTAACAAAACGATTTTGAAATGCTACCTTGGGCTTGCAATAGTTCTACTACCAGGTGTAGAGTTCGGAGCTTGCAGGTAATAAGAACGCAGACTTCTGGAGTCAGTCTCTCCAGGGGGTCTGAAGTTGAATCGTTCCTTGCTTTGCAATTTACTAGTAATGCATGACACCTTTGTCTTTGTCTTCCAAAGAATGCCAAGTTTTCAAGTATAAAGGAAGCCCCTTTCGTCGTTGAAACATCAGAAATTGGCTCTGACATATTTGCTGGCGTGGAAGCTAAGGGCTTAAGTGACAGGTAGGCAAGGGAAGGAGGAATCAGTAATAAATTGGTAATTGGGACATTCCTTGTTAATCTGGAGCTTGTATCTCCCCAGGTTCAAAGTTGTTCTCAACAACTGCTGGGCAACTCCCTCCTCAGAGTACTTCTACCAGATCCACTGGCCTCTGATCACCAAGGGGTAGGTGGTGGTGGGGCCCAGGGGAGCACACCTACTCAGCCCAGCCCCGAGGGTGACAGAAAGCTGGGAGCTGGGGGATGAGGGAGCAAGGGAGAACACGGCCCACAGCAGGGCAAATGCATTCATCAGACTGTCACCTCAGGAGATGTTTCACTGAAGCCACAGGGGCTCTGACACTGCTCCTCCATGCACAACCACAGGTGTGCCGCAGACTACTCCATCATCGTGCACGAGAACGGGAAAACAAACCGGGCGACGTTCCAGTTCAATGCCTTCCGCTTCCAGAACATCCCCAAGCTGTCCAAGGTGTGGCTGCACTGCGAGACACACGTCTGCGACAGTGAGAAGTTCTCCTGCCCAGTGGTAAGTCCTCCCTCCTGGAGAAATACACAGTTCTAAATTTAGACAGAGGATGTTGAGACCTTTCCAAGGGCATGTCAGGTGTAGAGGCAGTGCCAGGGCTCTCAGTGGATGGAGGCACTGCAGTGTGTGAATCTGAGTGCCCAGCCGTGCCACTGGCACTGCTTCTGTCATGCCACAGGCACCGTATGCACCATTGGGAAGCTTGAATAAACATATTGAGAAGCAAGGTAGCCATTGAAAACCTCAGCTCTTGTCTATATCCCAGACTACATTCCTGTCTGACAAACAGCCACAGTGCCACAGTGAAACCCAAGCCTGAAAAAAATGGGAGAAAGTAGATCTTCTTCCATTTTACCAAGTATTTCAGTGCTAAAAGCACCCTCGGGGCAGTGGGAGGACCTGGCTCAAAAAGGCTGCAGGTTTGACAAAAATGCATTGTTAGAAATTCTAAGTTTTGATGGCAAAAGATAAAACTCCAGGCTTAGATTTTGTTGTTTGTTTTTAAAGACTCCTTCAACTTTTTATTCAGTCACAGATCAGAATTAAAAGAAAACACAAACCCGTTATTCCATATCTGCCCTTCTGACAGTACTGTTAAACATCTATATCATCCTTTCAGGCAGTGGGTGGAATTCCCACCTCACTCTCCAGTGCAGGATAATTACTCAATCAGGCTAACATCCCTGGAGCCCACTTCCCACTCAAAAATGCAGCTGGTGGTCTCCTGCAATTAAGGTTGAACCAAGCCAGGGGTCTGTGCTTACAAACAACTCATAACCAGAATTACCACATGCTGAGTTTGTAATAAAAATGCCCACAGCTGGGGATCTGCAAAGGTCAGGGGATGGACAAGGACCTTTAATCTGTAGAGCACTGGCTCCAATGCAGACCTTGTCAGCTATGACAGGCATCATTAGTGCTGGACATGAGCTGATCTATATGGAAGTGATTTGGTGCTTCCTGTTTCTACCCAACGGGCAACAATTATCATTAGCAATAAACAATCACAGAAGCCTTCCCAGAGGTCGTGGGTTAAACAGATCGAGCTCTATTTTCCGCCTTCTGTCTTGACAGGAGTTTTGTTTAAGACAGGGAGGGAAGGGCAGTCCACCAAAATGCTCAGAAAATGCATTGTTAAGACTCTCCCTAAATCTCTCCTGCACCACAAAATCCCAAAAATTAAAGGCGGGGGGGGGGAAGACTTTAGAAAATACATGGCAATTTTCTTGGTTGGAAACATGAGAATTGTGTTTGGATCATCTTATAATTCTTTTGGTATATATGGCTTTCTCTCTGGTCTCTTAAGATATGTGATAGACGAAAACAGCGCATGGAACAAACCGGAGGTGTTTTAGTGGCAGAGATCTCTGTGCGCAGTAAGTGACTGGGTTTCTGGGATGTTTCTCCCTTTAGGAGTAACCAGAGGGAGCCAAAGCGCTCTGCCAGACCCCTTTCCCCCATGGCAGAAGGAGGCTTGAACAGAAGTCGGTCCCCTCCAAGCCCTGGCAGAAGAGTTCAGTAAAACTCCCCTCATTTACAAAGTGAGGAGAGGCACCCACTTGGCGTTTACCATAAAGTGCCAAACCTCTCACACCCAGGGTTAGCAGGGTAAACTCTGCTCACCCGCGTTTGACCTCGGCAGCAGCTCAGCCGTGCTCTGACAGGTTACACGGGAGCAGGAGAGAGGTCAGGCTTAGGAGCAGCAGGAGAGGTTTTCTTTACGCTGAGGGTTGGTACTTCAGCATACCCACAACACCTGCCAGTGTTATAGGGATGCTTCGTGCCTATCCCTCCTGACACATAAATTGCACTGCCATCGGGTTTCCCCATTCTAAAACAAGCTGTTTCCTCTAACTGCTGCCTCCTGGAGGCACCAGGAATTTCTCTCCGAGCTGGTTTAATCCTGTAGATCCAGCACATCTTTTGAAACAAGTCCTCGGAACAAATCACGTTTTCACTATAGCCCTATATATCAGTTTATCAACTACATCCACCCCAATCTGAAAGCCAATTTAAAATTATAAATACACATAGAACAGCATTATTACAACTCACTGTGTTGCACCAGTAACCCCCATCAATTTTAGAAGATAAAAGAACCGAGAATCCTCTTACACCTTCAGACAGTAAAGCCAAGAGGAAGAAATATCCAGAATTTCAAAATGTGGCAAAGGTTTTCTGTTCTGCTTTTATGAGGCGCACTTTACCCTATTTTAAACATGTCATCCCAATATAATCTTTTTCCTCTTCTTTTATATAGGCAAAGGTTTATCCAGATTTTACACACTCTCAGGTAAACAGCAAAGTATGACAATGAAAATATCAATCCCAAACATGGATTTTGAGTGACTTTGTCAACATAAAACCCATACCTCAGAGGAAAAAAAAAATGAAAAATGTAGTAAGTTTGACAGAAGGGAAAATATTTCATATTTTTTTTCCAATGTTATACACTTTATTTTCCTCCTTTTGGCACATTTCTCACTCTGGACAATAAAATCATAGCTATAACTTCCAATACTGAACATTACTTTCTTATATTGTCACACCCTGTTCCCAAAAAGAAACAATCATGTTTTACTGGGTTAACAGAGGTGTCTGAAAGCATTTTTTATTTGGAGAGGGTTTGAAACACAACTTTCAAAGTCTGTTTGTTAACATTTGATATGTTGACAGAGCCACACTAGGGCATGCAGTTGCACTGAAGGGGGTGGGAAGAGAAAGAGAAAGGGAGCTGACAGAGAAGTACTCACATTTAGTCTATTTCTCTTGCAGATATCATCTTCCACCTACTCTTTGTGATTGGATTTTGTGCTGTTTTATTATAAAATGCAGCCAAACTGTGTTTCTCAACTTCCCCCAATCCTGTTTGGACCTGGACTTCTTTACTAAAGATGTTTATTTTACAGAGGAAAAATGAAAGCCACAAAAAATACTTGTGCACCATTTTACCTGAGAAATAAAACATTCCATGAGCTTTGTGCCTCAAATATTGGAGAATCCCAAAGCAGATTTGCCTCTCCCCGGTCTCTGCTGGCATTTTAAATAGTGAAAACCCATGGGTTATGTATTCTACTGACACTTCCTTTTAAAGAGCTGTGATGCCCATAGTGCTTGTTTCTATAAGGAGTGCAAGGATATGCAAACTTGGCATTTTTCTTCAAAGCCAAATTCACCTTCAGGGTCCCCCTTCTCTGTCAGTCTCAGCGTGGTACCGAACTCCCCTCCAAGCCTGGTCTTGCAAGGTCCTGGTTTGTTCTGTAAAGTCTTCGAACAAAACAAAGACCAGACAAACATGTCGAGGATGCGAGAAAAGGGTGCTTTTCATGCAGCAACAATTAGAAGGTCCTCAGAATTAATTACCTGGCATTTCTTTCCTGCTTCTCACCATTGTCAGTATTGATTGGTTAGATTAAGCAGAGTACACTGTAGGAGTAGGATGTCTTGCTGACTTGGACGGGCTCAGTGCCGGATAGCTGCGTGGTGTGGATGCATATTGAGCACATCTGAGGTTGGAAAACAAGCTAATGAGCTTTACCCTGCCTTGACGTAGCTGGTGGCAGACACAATAGGGTTCAGGTGTTCAGTCTGTACCTGAGTAACAACAACTCTTAAACAGCAAGAAGAAATCATTAGAAAGGGAAACCGTGGTTTCTAAAGAGCAGGAAATATCAGGACATGAAACAATTCCCTAACATAAAGCATAACAGTAGACTCCTTAACTCTAGTAATTACTAAAACAATACTGAAAAAAGATCTTGAAAGTGTAAGAACTATTTCTAGATGTTTTCCATTAAATTTCCAGCACCCCAAATGTGAAAGAGGAAAGAGTAAATACAGCTGTTCCACTTCCAATTAATGAACACAGTGGGTGTACCTGTGTCTGTACCTATTGAAGCATCAGCACATTATAGAATGTGCGGCTCAGCCGAGCCCTGCTGGCCCCGCGCTGCTGTTGCCGGTCGCGGACAGCGGAGGGCGCTCTCGGGCCGGCACCGCCCGGCCGGGGCAGCGCAGGCGGGTCCGGCAGCTCCGGGTGTTTCCCAGCGCTCCCAGCTCCCGGAGCGGAGCGGAGCTGCGGGATTGTTTCGTGCCACACGGGGTATTTTGATCAGAGGTAATGACAGAGCAGGTTTTTCGCCCACGTTGGCTGCTTTGCCTCCCTCTCCTCCTTCCCTCCTCCCACTAGCGCCGCGCGTTTCAACACCTGCCAAGTGGCTTTGCCTTCTTGTCTCCGCCAATTAAAGTTAACGCGTGGGCTGCTTCTCCAAAGCCTGTTTCTTTTGCCTGCCCTCTACAACATTCGCTGCTGTCCTACTGTGGCTATTTCGTGCAGAAATCCTTGAACTCGGTTTCCTTGGTAGGTTGATTAATTTCTTTTCCTGGTTATGCAACAAATGTTGCTTTGAGACAAAACCTTGCAGGATTGCAGCAGCTGTCAAGTGTGCCTGCGAATTCCCAGGCCACCTCCCTGGCCGCCGTGGGATGGAGCCTCGGGGCATACATATCTCTGGCACCTGTTACTGTAGTGCGTGGGGTTCATGACACAGAGAGCTGTGACTGCAGGATGGGCACAGCCCTTCTGCCCATCCCAGTCTGGATCACTGTCTCCCTACAACAGTTTATTGTTAAAAACAAGCAGACAAAACACAACAGAAAAACAGCTGCCAGAGGTGACTGTGAAAAGGTTTACCTGCCAGAAAAGGCAACACCACATGAACAGGTTTCAGCTGCAGAAACTAAATAGTTTGCATAGAAAATATGAACTATAATTCACATTCATTTTCCCTAACCTGCCTATGGCTCATTACTACTTGTACTACTAAATATTATTTATGTTGCCAGTATCATAAAATACAATGATTGCAAAAGATTTTAGCACAAGATGAAGCTTGGTAGACTTCACCATTTCAGAGGCACTATATTGATGGATTTTTTTCAGCTGTCAGGGCATGAAGATGCTTGCCTTGATCTCTGTATCTGAAAGTCAAAGTCAATACTGGCCCTGGAAACATAGGGACAGGAAGGTTAGTTATAAAGGGAATGCAGATAATCTGTTTAGAACCCAACATTTGTTTTCCCAAAGATTCCAAATTGGTTTTGTTCCAATTCTTCCTCCCATTTGGAGGAACTCTAACGAGGCATGAATTTTTACATGCTTTCCTTCTCACACTGAAGCACAAGATCACTGAGGTCATGACAAGAAGTAGGGGAGAAATGAACACACATAGGTGTCAAGATGATAACACAGGTTGCAGCACAACATTGCTAGTACAGTGACACACTTTTACACAGTATTTTGTTCATTAAATATAGGTCACCTCTCACTTGCAAATGTAAACACCATTAACCTGGGTGGCCTTTATTTAACAGTCACTGTAGGTGCAAATAACTAGTCAGAAGGTCCAACAGAAACTGCCAGTGAAAGAGTGGGTCAGATCTCACACAGAATCCTCAGAAGTAAAAAACAAGCATAAATACCACCAATGCAAGCTGGTACTTTCCATCACTGACATCCTATATTTAGTGTCCCCAAACAAGCAGTGCCATTGGCACTGTGATTCCTTCCACTACTGCCACCCCAGGTCCAATAGTGAAAAAGAAGGAAGAGGTTCTGAGACTATCAATTCAGAATTAGTTCTAGTCAAGCATTAATGCCTTATATCTCGTGCTGGGATCTCACAGTTTCAAATCCAAACTTCAGAGGTGGTTACAGGGGGACATGCAAATGATCCTGCTGCAGGAATGCCAGACTAGGTCTGACCTGACATGCCCACCTTGTGCAACCACTGCTAATGCAGCTCTGGAAGGAGTGAAGCACATCAGGGCTGAAGGCCTTTCTGTAGGGGATCTCAACTCACACTGAGGTAAACATTGCATGTCCTGCCAGAACTGGCAATACATTACACAACAGAAACACAGGCAATGCCTCAGATCCAGATACCATGTATAGAAACTCCCCAATCTTAATCCTCATTTAAACACCAACTTCATCTCTTCTGTAAATCCATGACATTTTGTTTAAATGTCCCAGTCAGGGACAAGGAAAAACCCTACATCTCAGAATAGTATCATAAGAGCCACGACTCGCTACATTACAAAACACATCACAGATGTACATGGCCTGTATTAGGAATGAACCTCTTCACTCTGTACTGAAGATCAAATCTTTTCAAGCTACCCCTATCTAAAGGGCAGCTGTCACTCACATGTGCAGAGGAAAAAATATCTTTTGATTGACTGGCCCCCACTGTCCTTTCATGTAGCATATCACTACAGCCCTGCAAAGGTCAAGACGAGTGGCTTCAGAGAAATCAGTAATAATTCTTTCAGCCTGGCAGTCAGGCAGACAAGGGTGAGATGTTCTGAGCTCTGTCAGAAGCTGGGTTGCACTCAGAAACACAGAGATCAGCCCTGCTTTCCAGTACATTTTTCTTCACTTTGGTGTTACAGGGAAAACCTAGTGCACACCAAATGTGTACACCTGCTCTTTAAAAGCAATTAGGTTAGATATGTTCTGGTTCTAAAACCTAAGAGAAATGTTAAATTCCACCCTAGGAAGCCCACCTGCAATGCAAACAGCTGCTCTGTGGTGCAGTCCATCTCCAGCCTTCCCAGACTGCTTCCACGTCGAGCAGCCTGTGGCTTCCTCTCCTGCTAAATTTTCTCTGTGAGTGGTTTCATCCACATTAACATCCTCCTCCCACAAACCATCTCCCTCCGAGCATTTACACTCTGTGACACAAAGCATCACTGGAAGGGATCCCACCCCCTGTTGCAAAACAGTCTGCTCTTCTGTTTACACTCACCTGCTCTTAACAGAAAAATAATGTCAGCATTTTTCTTCTGGGAGCAAGCACATCAACACATCCCAGACACAGATAATCAGGATATATACTATATTAACATTACTTTAAAATTGCAATTAAGCCACAACATGTAGCACAGACTTGTCAGTAACATGGCCCTGAAATATGTTTTGAGAGTGTCTCACAGGTTTAAATTGCATTCTGCTTTTCCATAAGCACAGTCTGCAGAGTGGAAATGATGCAGTACTGCATGACAGGAAGCGTGGCATGTAGATCCTATTCCTAGGTGAGCATTAAAGCTGAGGTCTAATGCTAAAGCAAAGTCTAATGCTAAAGCAGAAGTCTTATCACAGTGAAATGTTTGCCCAGCACTATAAATTTACCTGGTGATTAATAAGCGCTGATAAGAACATTCTGAGCACTTCTGATTGTCTCCATGTACAACACTTCTGTGCTAGCACCTTTTAGTGAATACTTCAAAGTCCTCTAAAAACAGTAACTGATTCACCTGGAAGATTTAATCTTCCCCCTGCAAACTGAGAAAAACTGAGGTACAAAGAATGACATGAGCAGACTATTGGCACTCATTCCAGTAGAGAGGAATGTTACTACAACAGAAATATTAATCAAGGAAAAATATGTAGCCTGATCTGATACTTTTGCGAATGAATTGAATTGAGAAAACTTGCAAATTTTGCATTTATTTTATCTATATTGGAAAGAGAAGTTCTACATATACAGAAAATCAATATAATAAATTCATATACACAATTTATCATGTACCTGGTGACCCACAGTAACAAATCACAAGCATACATACCTAACATAAAATAAAATTTCAAACGTTAATCACCTGGAAGGGAGCTTGCATCAACAGGTTTTTCCTCACACTTGTGAGAGGTGTGCCACCATGCCTCAGTGGGTGGCAATCCTTACCTTCCATTATGCTTGGACCTCCACATCCCCTTTACAATCAGCCAGACTCAGGATGTTTACCAGTGGGAAGGCCAATAATGTAGTTTTAGCTCCTCTTTGGGTACAGGGCCTGTCTCTAAAGTAATCCCAGCACTCAGGAATTTCACAGACATAATAGCTATTTCCTTGGTGTGGTTCATCCCACTGTGGACAGGCAGGCTGCTGGACACCATATAAGCATCACCAGTGGTTT